GCCCGAGGACATTGAAGATGTAGCAGATCTTTTTCTTCCATGGAATGAAGTTGGAACCATCTGGTTCCAAGATGGGAAGGGTGTGCCGACCGAGAGGCGTTTCAACTTGAGCCATGAAGTGTGCAACGTTCACTAAGCTAGAAGCCTAGCTCTGATAGCATGTAGAATGAGGATCGGTGAACTTGAGGCACAATGAGAGAAGAACAATATATCCTTAGTAGGAAGATGGTACAAGCCTGAAAGGCTAGAGCAATGTCCTTTCCAAAGATGAGTTCTAGAGAAGTGGGAAGCCACATTTATGTGGCTGAACTCTTGAGGCTAGCTGCAGCACCTCAAAGCTGAGGGCAGTGCTAGCCAACCTTGCCAAGCTAGCAATTGAGGCCACATGTTGCACATGTGGGCCAGGCTGGAACAACAGCCTACATGGCAGCATGTGGCACACCATAGGAGCCAACAAGGTGAGTATGGGATGGGTGGACAGATGGCAATGCCAACTGTGACCACACTTCACTGTGGGTGAGTGTGGTGGAGTGTGGGAGTGTCATGTTCGGCATAATGAGAAGAGAAGGTGCTGCCGATGAGAGTTGAACCCGCGACCACTAAGACCAAAGGTACCCACTGGGACATTCTTGCTTCCACAACATCGTCGAACCACGCCGCCTTCATGGAAGGGTCCAGGAAGGTGGCGATCCACAACTCGTTGCTTGACATCAACTCATACTTCTTCAAGAGACCCAGCGCCGCCTCAATCATCGGCTTCAGCGTAGCCGATGGCCCCTTGGCAAGGCGCGACTCCATAGCGTCGATCGGGCCGTTGTAGTACGGCAGGACCATCGACACTGTAGGGTACGCCGCTCCCTCTGCGGCCTTGGAGACTTTGGCGAATGGGCTGAGGAAGGTCTTGACAGAATGCAGAGTCTCCAAGTCTGCGTCCGTCAGGCGCAAGGTGTCCATCTTCGCCTTGTCAGCCTTCGACACGCCCTGTCGGGTAGAACGTATGGGTGGGTGACGGATAGAATGGAAAGTGGGGTGGTTGGGGTTGTTGGAGGTCCGGAAAGTTGAGTCAAGCATGGCCAACAGTGGTGCAAGTCCCAGAAGAAAACACCCCGACCGACATACCAACACATAAAACAGCATACACAACACCTGGCGCACACACACACCTGTGTTTGGGCAAATAAGACAGAGATGGGTTCCTGCAGAACCCCGGCTCGCTCGACCATGTCGTGGGTCGACCCCCAGCGTGTGGGGCTGTCCTGCACCAGCTTCAACGCTGGCTTCGGTTTGGCGGGGTTGCCCTGCGCGTTCAGAGTCCGCTGAAGGCCCAAGAACTTCCCCGAGCGCTGCGGCGAGTATCCTATCCACGAGGCCATGTCTCTCAGAATCTTCAGCAACTTGCGGATGGCGGTCACAGCGAGTGCCGCCTTCACTGCAAGGTTGATCACGTGTGCCAGGCATCTGCGCACGCACGTCACAAAACATTCATGGCGGAGAGAAAGGGAAGTGTGAGTACACAACACATTGGCATAGATCCGAGATACACTACCACTCTCAAGCCGCATAGGCCCACCCGCCTGTACTACAAACAACCACAACATGTTCACATCACAGGAACACTCCCTTTCGTACCGGAAGTGCATGCGCGAGGTGAAGAAGCACTGGCCACCACCCTCCTCCGACATCCACCTGAAAGCGGCAGTGTTGCTAGAGGCGTTGTCTGAGGTGAACCCAAGACAACGCGTCTCCAACCCCCACTGCACCACTGTGTCCTCAACCACCCTCGCCATCTGCTTGCCCGTGTGCCGCCCGTGAATCTCCTGGAATTCAAACACCAATGTGCGCAGCTGGTAACCCTCGTCGATCCAGTGACCCGTTACCACCAGCCACGCCCTGTTGTTGGCGACGTCCACATGTCGATGGTGAACGACACCCTGCACCCCAGCTCCCCCTCCTTCGCCAACATCTCCGCGATGGCTGACTGAAGAGCGGCAGCCGCATAGACCACTGTGTCGCGGGAAACCGTCCAGCGCGAGGGGATGAAGTTTTTTTGCGCGCAGTTGCGGTTCAACAGGATGAGTAGCTCACGAAACTGGAGAGGGGAAGAGAAAAGGGGGGAGAGGGTAGTACACGTCAGGGGGATGCGATGAAAATAATATAGCACTGCACTGGGCCACACGCAAACAGTCAAAACACAAAGCGACAGACACGTCCACTAACCGCATACTTGCGAAATCAAGCATGGGATGGGATGGGGCACTTACAGCCTCGGCCTCGACGATGCGGAAGGGGAGGTCGCAGGTGACCACCAGCTTCGTGATCGCCTGCCGTAGCTGCACCGAGGTCAGTTTGGCTGTCATCCACCGCTCGATCCCTCCTGACCCATCACCTCCACCAGTTGCCATCGCTTTCCCCTTGGCGAGCTGCGGCCAAGTCTTGGCATGTGGCCACTGATAGACGTAGCCATCCGGCACTCCCTTGTAGCCCCCTCGGGGAAACGTCTCCCCTCCCCAGGCAAGTGAACGGACGGGGTGTGGTAACGGTGATGCCACACATGCATGTGCGCAGTGTGGAAGCTCGCAAAGTGCCGCTCGCCCGGGGTTGTTGTGGATTGCTTCCACGAAATCCTGTCTGTGCAAATCTTGCACTGACGCTTCTCGTCTGCCCCTAATGGTCCGAACATCATAACTTGCCACCCCGGCCTCCTATTACCCTTGCCAGTCCCCTTACTACTCTCGGACCCTCCGTCCTTGTCTAGGAACTCGGGAGCGATCACACCCTCGCCCAAGGGCTCCCCAGTGAACGTGCAGGGATACGCCCGCTCTCTCAACTTGTTCGCTTTCTTCCTCTGCTTCGGCTCCCTAATGGTCACGGCCTTTCCCCCTCCCACCTTAACCCCCACGCTGCCTCCCCCTTCACGCACATGCTGTGATCCCGCCTCTGTCGCCGCCCTTCCACCACCCTCTCCCACCTCCTCCTCCCGCCCCTCAGGCTCCAACCCATCCATCTCGTGGTCTTCATCATCATCATCATCTCCCCCCTCCCCACCGCCATGCGTCTCTGGGTCCCACGCCGCCTCGCTGTCATCCCCGCTCCCCTCAGTGTTCTCCTCCTTCTCGCCCTCACCATCCTCCTCCTCATCCTCCTCCTCACTGCCGCTCTCCGGCAGTGTCGGCGTCTGCCCCGAAGGAGGGGGCCGAGGGCCGTCGTAACGGAAAGAGCGACGAGAGCTCGGCGCCGGTACGGTAAGCAACCCCCCAACGAAGATCGCGCCGGCTCCACCCGGTCCATCCCCTACTCGCCCCTGCATAGGTCGTGGTGGAGATCCCGGTGCGCTGCCCTGAGCCCTGCCTGCACCTCGGCCTATGGATCCACCACCCCTGGACGCCATCACTCCGCCCTCGACCCTAAACCCTAAAACCCCCTAAGGCAACGTTAGCGTTGGATGGTGCCGCACGTTCCTAACGCCCGATCCGAATCCTAGAGCGAATGATACGCCCTACTTGAGCCCTTTGCGGAGATGCTCGCTGAACCTCCCTAGTAACCCTAAACTCCCTACACTACGTTAAACCCTATGCATAGTTCTTCTATCTAATCTAATGTTCGTTCGTTTACACTCCAAGTGTTAACGTGCACTTGCTTGCACTTAGAAGAAGGAGGCTAGGGCGGCTGTGTGAGGGAGCGCTAAAGCGGCTAAACAACTTCTGAGTTTGAGCTCACGAAATGAGCTCAAACTAAAATTGGCCGCGACCTAAATCTGGTCGCGGCCAGTTTTGACGCGAACTCTTTTGGTGTTCGCTTCGAAGCCCAGCCGAACACGAATATGTTCGTGTTCGGCTTGGAGAGGCCAAATCCAAATCCGAACGCCGAACATGTTCGGCCGAACCTCGAACATGTTCGGCCCGAACGAATTGGCAAAAAAAAAAGGCCTGTTCGGTTCGCCTCGAACATGTTCGAGGCGAACCGAACAGGCGTTCGGGATTTTGCTCATCCCTATTTTGAACTACTGATTAAGGGCAGGCACATTCGGTGTAAGAGAGTTGTGCCTCTCTCGCTCCAGCCCTGACAGGACACAGCACAAAGTTATGTCTTTGTATCTTCTTCTACATGCGTGATCTGCATGTGAGAAAATTACCAACAACACCCCAAAGAGAATGCGATCTTGCTTCTGTTGTGCCTGCTTCCTCCTTCCACGTGCCTCTTTCCTCCACTGGCATACCTGCAATTGCCATCGCCATTTTTTTAATTAATCTAGGCAAGTAAACTAGGCTGGCCATGGCGAATCACCGACACCAATCCTATTGTTCTCTCCCTGTGTAGTTAAGGTAGGGATGAGCAAGGGGCGAACACGAACACGTTCGTGTTCGCCCCTACACGAACACCGCCGTTTGCTGAACCGAACACTGTTCGGTTCGGCGAACACTTTGAGCAAAAAATGGTGTTCGCCGTTCGCCTGTGAAGGCGTGTTCGGGCGAACCTCGAACACGTTCGTGTTCGTCGCGGGGCAAATTGCAGCAGCAGTCCGAACACGAACGTGTTCGGGCGAACATCGAACACTGTTCGGCGAACAATTTAAGCCAAAAAAAAAAACCTGTTCGAGGCGAACCGAACAGGTGTTCGTTTTTTTGCACAACCCTAAGTTAAGGCATGACGACATATTTCACTAACTTATGTTTTTTGTTCTTCTTTCTCCTTCAATTCATTTTGTTTCCATGAACGATGCTTTTAGTTAAAGATGTTGATCAATGTTCGTTTACTGTAGTCACTAACAGCAATAGTTGACATGATTGGAAGAAGCATTAGGAAACAACAAGATTTCAAATAAATCTCTGACGAAGTACATACTGTATGAAAAATAATCTACAACCAATCCATGGTCATTGCGTTGGGAATGTAAGTGAAATATATCCGTGTGAAGAACCCTGCCAGCAAGGGCCCCATGGAATGCGGAGACGGGCAGGGATGGTGGCCAAAGGCGAGCAAGGGCAGGGAAGATGGCTCACAGGGCCTCCAGATTCTTGAGGTTCGCCAGTGATGAGGGGATGGTGCCGTTGAAGTCATTCACGCCTAGCAACCTGCATACACGGCCACGGTCATGGTCAGTTTTCTTTGCTTGTGTCTATCAAAGAGCAGTTGTTGAATCAGCAGCAAGCAAGTACTTGCTATTTGTACGAAGCGAAGCAGGTGCCTTACAGGTTTGGAATAGCAGAGATAAAGGAGACTGATGGGTGTGGGTCGTACTCACAAATATCGAAGCTCTGACACATTCCCTAAAAAGGATGGGATGCTTCCTTGAAAGCGGTTGGAGTCCAGGTGCCTGCAAGCTAGCAATGCTCGTAACCACCGGTCATGCCAAAGCGTCGACGGCAAATGCAGTGCACACATGGTATTGCACACAATGTAGTGCAGTGGACAAAGCAGCAGAAAAGCACATATGCCCTCGCTAGAATGAGGTGCCACGACAAGTGCAGCAGCAGGCCGCTTATGCAGCTCAAAAACTCACAACACGACAGCACTGGCGGAGGCATCAATGCATCATGTTGTGAGATAGTAAAGATTATGGGCATTGCTCACAGTCGTGTGAGTCTTTGCAGCTGCGGAAGAGAAGCAGGCAGGGATCCGGAGAACCTGTTGTTGTCCAGGCACCTTGAGAGCCGCATAAAGAAAGGTGCATGCAAATGGGAGCGATGCAAGCAAGGGAACCTGTTTAGAACAGAGTGGGCAATGTGCACGAAAGAGGCCCGACAAAAGCAGTGAGCCCTCCCCAGGAATTGTTCTGACCAGGCGCAATGTGCATCACAGGGATTTGCAAGCAGGAGATGAGAATGCGAGCCTGAATTTCAATGTGGAACAGGCAGCACTTTCACCAGTCCTCTGGCGTTCAGCATTGCGGGCTACAATCACACGGCTAAGGTGTCATGCAGACGCCCTGTCCACCATCACCCAGAAGTATGGAACCAATTTCAGGCAACGGCGGCTGGGCGGTGGCATCACAACGAAGCCAAGCAAACGCACTCCATGAAAAGGCCAAGGCCAACAGACTGGTAGAGGCGCCTTTCACCCCAATGGCGGTCGGCCCTTGGTCCATTGCGTTGAGAGATCTCCTCTAAGTTCTGGACGGCCAAGCAAACACGGGCCGCCTTGCCTCTCCCAACTACTGGCAGCATCAGCACCGCCTGGGGGGGTCACCTGCTGTGGCTGAGGCTAAGGGAGGAGTGGAGCGCTCAACTGTACTAGAAAAACGACCCTCTCTGCGGACTATCCTTCCACACCCAAACACCAACCACCCTCTGGCTGCACGCTCCCCTCCCCCACCATGCATTCCTCTTAATCCCCAGAGCACCCCAAGACAAACCTGCCGGTGTCCCACAGACGTGCCTACCAGTAGTTGCACAGCCGTGTTTGGCTATCCGAACAAAATCTGCATGCTGTAGTTGAGCACTTGCTTAGCAACCAACCCTCAGCTGTAGTTGCTTGGTGGTACTCGCGCTACCATCGCGTTGCTTTTCTTACCAGAAATTGCTGCACTTTTTCAATGGCTGCTGTGCTGTAGAGTAGACGCGCTAGTAGAGTAGAAAGTAACTGTGTGTATCATTGTACTCACCTTAGAACACGTGCTGTAATCCCCTGCCTATGCTAATGAAGGACCATCAAAGAGAGGAAAGCAAGAGAGATTTGGTACTCACAAGATGGAGAGGTTAGTGAATGAGGCAATGAACTGTGGAAACGATCCATTGAAGACGTTGCTGCTTACTCTCCTGAATGGACGCACGCACACGCGATTGGACACATGCAGTATGGCTCTGGAATGGCCAAGCGAATACATGAGGATGAGCGGTGGACGGTTGAGTCAAAGCATGGTAGGCATCATGCTTTGGTTTGGTGTGACTGTGGCAATGAACAGGTAAAGGCTCTAGCAGCAGCAGCAGCAGCGGCGGCGGCGGCGGCGGCGACGGCAGCAGCAGAAACTCACATGTCCTTAAGCTTCTTTAAAGTTGACATTTCCCTTGGCAATGAACCCGACAAGCTATTCACTTCCACTCCACTGCAGCAGCACAAAGATGCTCGAAGAACACAAACAGATGAAGGCAACGCATAACAGTGAAGCGAGAACGTGAGTACAATCACGGATGGCACTCATGCATTGAGAATCCTATGCAAACCTGTAAAGTTTTGAAGAGAATACATACATGCATGCAATCATGACTGCATGTGAGCTTGGAAGTGCATGTGCGTGCAACAGGGACAGCACGGCAGAGCACATCACCATCTATGTGGACCATTATGTATGGGCAAGCAAGTACCCAAGCCGGACCAGTTCCACTCATACGGGGCAGAACTGGTCGGTGTGTGTGTCGAACCACACCGTAGCCTGTTCAGATAGAACCGGCTGGACTAGTGCTGGTCCACGATGCAAAGAACAGAATAACAACACACAACAGAATTCAACAAACGTTGATAGGCTAGGGTTCTATCTGGGGTTAATAGGCTGCTCACGCCCACTGACCCTTAGTGCGTTCACAACTATTTCGGTTCTCACAGGTATTCCAGATTGCTCAGCCTGCTGATGTCAGAAGGAATAGAGCCAGATAGGGAGTTGTTGGACAGAACCCTAAAGAACGGGTCCAGGACAGGAATGCAACAACCGACATGCAGGACAGGTCATTCCATCACACGACTATGTGTCGCATTCTTCCATTAGAACATGATACATGTGCCAGCCGTTTGGGAAGGTAGATGCATGACATCCAAATCCAAGGAGAAATTACCATACAAAGGAGCAATCTGGGAACTAGTGCATACTTTCATACAACGAGAAAAGACTCCTGGAGTACAACCAAACTATCTGCCACATACTTTACAAGAGGAGGAGATTGATCCCACAGGTTCTACTGCCATCAGCATGTCTATGCGATTCGTGCTACACCATTATTACACATTCAACAGCTCACACTGGCTGGTGTATTCGTGCTCACACTGGCTGGTGTATTCGTGCTCACACTGGCTGGTGTATTCGTGCTCACAGGCTAGTAAGACGGCTTAATGTAAAGAGGGCGCGTGGCAGCGAGTCTACTAAGTTGCAGCCAATCAGAGTGCTGCACTCTCAGATACGAACACAGGTACAGGAAAGAAAGAACGAAAGAAAAATGCTATGAGTCCATGAACCATCGGGGAAGGAGCGCGGCAGTCTCAAATGTTTGCAGAGTGGTATGTAGGATGCAAGTTCAAGTCTTTCAGCTGGCAACCACCGATTGCTGTGGTGCAGTGATGCGGTGCGTGATGTTGCAGAGGAATAGAACGTGGAACAAAGGCCCAGTGAAACGACACGATTTGATTTGAGCATACAGTAACGAAGTGCACCCACAGTGTTTCAAGGCGCTGTAAGCCGCTGATGGCAGTGGGAATGGGATTCCAGAGAGGTTGATTACTGACAGTCCTGGTGAAACATGAAGATGCAAGGGGCGGAGGACGGGCAGGGTATTGAGAAAACAGAAGAGGCGAAAAGCATTTGCTGAGCAAACGTCACCCAGTGATTTGGCCACACGCATACTGGCAGTGTGCCTGCATGTGGAGTTGGGGGAGTAGGGAAGGGAATTCGGGGTGGGGGGGGAAGGGGAGGGGGAGGGCAGTGTCCCATCCCATGTTGTGTGTGTGCTAGTGCTACGACACATTCAATCTGCCCGGTGAAATGCATCAAGTCAGTACTCAATGAAGACCTTTCACCATGGAGGCTTGCAATGAGAGAACTAGGGTGCATGAGAAGCAGAGTGAGCGTGGGAAGTGGTTACTCACATGGATGTGACGTAGCCATCCTTGCACTCAATGCCCAACATCTCGCTGCAAACACTGCGCGTTTGCCATGACGCTGCATTGGCAGCCGACGCCCACTCCGCGGCTATACTCTTCAGAACGTCCTCTGAGAGCAATGCAGCATGCATGCCATGGAACATATGCGGTGTGGATAAGGACAATGAGATGACTGTTTCTTTCTCACAATGCACAGAGCGAATCAACAGGGCAACGGAATCATGGTATCTCGCGAATAGAATAGCATGCAAGCCGTTGGAATGGTTCAGCAAGCCTTGCACTTGAGTCAAAGCCAAGGCGCACGCTACGCTATGCGGTGGCGCACCCCCTTGCATGCCCCACGAGCCGACAGTCAGTACACAGAGGGAGGGGGCGAACGAACGGCGCCCTCGGCGCTCCCCCTTCCGCCCTCGCGAATCCAGCATGCGCAACAAGCCCAGATTCCACAGGGCGAAGCTCCGCAAGGGACCCAGCGCCCTCCCCCAGCAGGTGCAACGGCGACAGGCACGGCAGCAGGGGCGGGCTGAGGAGCATTCTGATTTGACGAACGCAGCACAGTGCGTAGCGCAGGCAGAAGCGCTTCGAGCACACGCTCCGAACAAGTGGGCACCTGGCGCAAGGAGCCTCCATGCCCCCGAGCCGAGCGCCCCTGTGGCCACTCGCCTGACTCTGGAACGTGGCGAGTACGCCGGCTGGCCACGACGACTTGAGTAATGACACAGTTTCGACGACGTGCGCGGCAATCGGCGCCCAGGAGAATGGCACCAAGGCTGTGATCTCTCGACCGGTTGAAGGCCTTAAAGGGGCTGTGATGTGAAGGTAAGCTCCGACGAGCTGGAAGTAGACCTTTCAAGATGCACACAAAAGTGAGGAACGATGCTGACAATGACGCAACGGATGGGTCTTATACACTGGGCCGGCGGACCCATCCACGGAGTCCACGACAGGTGAAGCTCACATCAGAGTGCTCACCAACAAGCAGCTGCAACTCGTGGGTGTGTCCCAGCACCTACTAAAGCCGCATCCTCTGGGTGTTACCCAACACCGACCCGAGCCACAAGCACAGAATTGGACAACAAGGTGAGGAAAATCTGGCGAGGGCTGACAACAACTCTGTCCCATCCAATCCAGCCCTGCTCACTTGCGTCGCCAGCAGTCCCCAGAGGAGTTCGCGTCTGACAATAGTTCACCAGCGTGGAAAATTGAGACATCGCGATTTTGTGCAACACCCACTGCCACGGAAATTTCCGCCCGTGCTTCAGCCGCTTTTCGCCACCACTTCTTTGCTTTGATTGGCACAAAACCTTGACTCATTGACCCGCTGTACCCTGCTGCTTTCCCCCCCCCGCCTCACGCTGTGTCGTCTATCATCAAAGCGGCCTGATTGCTCCACAGTCAAGTCACGTGTGAAGCAATTCGTGGCGAGCGAATGGGAAACGCTGTATCAAACCACGGTGGACTCGGCAAGAGGTTGGGCAGCACTCTACGACCCTTCACTGTACGACTTACGGCAGGCCGTCCTCCTTACTATACTTGCACGCTGGTTGCCATCATCCGCCACCGCTGAGCGAGAGAGGTGTGCGGCAAGGCAGTCCCTTGGGGCCATCGCTTTTTGTGGTCAACATGCACCCTGCTGCACTGCAGGCCACGGCATGCGTCTTCCCTTTGGTGCTGTGACTAGCTTGCACCAACGATGCCAGCTTTATGGCCGATCCAGAAGAGTGCACAGCGGCCTTCGACCACTTTGCCGCTGCACAAGCTACAGTGGGCCTCACACACAATCCAGCCAAGTGCGCAGCTTGGTCGTCCTCATCCACCAGGAAACCTCCTTCTCCTGGCCGTCCACTTCTGGAACGAGGGGTAACAAGTCCTTGGCAGCCACATCAGGCCAGACGATGCTGCGGCCCGTTTGGACTCCATGACCGCACCACTCACGCGCATGGACCTCACCTCGCCTCACTGCTACTCGCCCGCTGCATTTCACGTGGCGAAGTGGAGAGTACACGTATTTGGGCCCAGGTCTCCCTGCTTGTCTCCCTCCAAGGGCTGGGACTAGCCTGCCCTTGTGAAGGGCACATACGGCTGCTTGGCCAGCTTCACCCACGGCCCCCAGCTGCTTGCCTCCCTCCAGAGACCTCCATCGGCGCGCTGGCGTCGACTCGGTTCCACATGCCCGGACCTTTGTGATGCCCCCACGCCGCTACGCTCGTGGCTGGCGTTATGCGAGGACTCCCGGCCTGCCACAGCAAGCCAAGGACGTGCTCCAAACCAAACCAACCGTCTTGATTGACCCCACAAGCGGGAAAACGCAACACCATCTAGCCATTGCACGCCTGGGCCGGCGATACGGCGAGCAGGTGGAGGCCGCGTGGAGCATGGCACTCAACCCCAACACTGCCCACACGCACGCTACGCATGCTCCCTCTTTCTCTCAGGCTATGGGGCAGGAAACCGGTTAAACGCGGCACTAGTCTCTCCGGCCCTGCGCTTAGTAGGGCCGGCCCACTGTGCAACAACCCTTCAGTTCCGACTTGGCCTTCGCAAGCAAGCAAGCGGCGACTGGCGCAAGCAAGTGAAGATCACCAACGCTCGCCTCCTACCACCTACTGCGTTGTGGCACTGGGGCGGGACGGACCATGACACACAACGAACTGAGGGACGAGTGCACCACGATGGCACAGGACGTTGGCATAGTTGCGCATAACAAAACCTCCGTCTTTGCCCCGTCAAGAGAGGATGGGCCGCAAGAGAGGCAGCGGCACGGAGTATCTATCACTACAGAGCTGAATACGTTGGCCTTTCCCCACTCACCTGCTTGACGGCTGTGTCCGGTTTACCTATCCATGGACCCATTGAGGAACGGGAGGAGGGGAGCAAGTTTTTATGGATATGAGTCCTCTCGAGCTTATTGTTCCTTCCGTTTCTCATTCTCGGTTTTTCCTAGCCCAACGAACCCTAATCGTATTCACGATTCTAACTTTGAGATTCGCGTTTCTGGAGGCAGCATGTGTGACGAGAGAGTCAGAGGGCCCGAGAGCATCATGGAGCAGCAAACAGCGACTCACTGTTAGGCACGCAACGCACTTTGGGTGGAGAGAATCGGTTGAGCGGACGCCTCTCCGCAGGCGTGCAGCAGCGCGAGCAGCGCACAGGCGTACGGTGCGGCAAAGCTAGGACTACTACGCCGGTGCACAAACGCCGGGGCATGCGCTACGCGCACGAGCTTTTTAGCCTTCCACATCCTTATTCAAGGCTGCCTCTTTAGGCTGCTACTTCTTGCACTACTTTTGACTTTCACGGAGGAGTATGTGGAACTGTATGCTTCTGGCGGTGATACATCTTAGCATGTCCGCGAATGGAGGAGAATGACTTCTTGACCACGCAAGACCGGGAATCTTTAGGGTTAGATAGAATCGAGCATACAAATATCACCGTTCTCAACAATTCGCCAGCTTGTATATAATGTTCGTATGGTAACCCAGTTTGGAACACAACCCCCCACAGCCCACTCGGCATGTTATGAATGAACTTGCAGAGTGCGCAGAATATCGAATAACGAGAATGAACTGATTACTGAATTATTGAATGACGATACAATGAGGAAAGCACGACTAAATAGGGGAAGTCCTAGCTAGGCGGAGAGGTTGAGCGAGGGTGGCTCGGTGATGGTTGCGATTGGTGCGGAGGCGACTCGGGAGTGGTTCGGTGCGACGAAATAGGAAGGACATGTTTGTCGCGTGACCCTCGGGATGGCCTCGCTAATGAGTGCCCGAGTAAGGATTCTGTAAATCCTTACACTCTTCCACCTTCTAAATAAGGCAGTCCTGTACTGAAACAGGCCCCACACTAGCGAGGATTCCGTAGATCTCCTCTTCAGCTGAATCCGACGGCCGAAATGCCTTGGACAATAATTTTGAAAAGGTTGGGATGTAGGCTGTCGATGAAGTCCGATTTTGATCTGACGGTCGAAGATGAACTAGCCCAAAATGAAGTCGAAGTTGGAATGTGGTCCGTTGATGAAGTACCGTCATCACCCGGATATACCCCCAGGTGGGGGTGTAAAAAAACTTGGAAAAATGGTGGGTGGGCTTATAATGTGGTAAATTTTATAACCCCATGGGCTAAATAAATGACACTTATGGAATTTTGATTTTATAACACTGGAATGTAGATTTCACCCTGGCGATTTAAATCGATGCTTACACAAAGAGGATCGCTGCTGAAAAGTTCCGAGAATGTGTCGTATAGTCAAGAATCCGAGTCAGCACCTGCTCAAATGTTGCAGATTTCGCGCACGTGCACTTCCTGTGGCAATTTTGCCAAGCGAGCCAGGGGGGATTTCGTCAGGCACGTCTGTGACGATTCGTTTAGGCGCGTTAGTGGTGATTTCGCTACAAAAAAAACCAGAATTCATAGGGTGCGCTTATACGAAGATTGACACAACTTGGGGTGGGCTTATAATCGGCAACCGGCTATAAGCCCACTAGTACGATTATAACCGCATGGGTGTAACATAGGCCTGGGGGTATATCCGGGTGATGACGGTAGATGTGGATCTGACGGTCGAAGACTGACGCGAGATTGGAGGGAACCTGCTGACGCGGAGTAAAACGCGATGGAGCAGGGACCGTTGATCGTGTCGGTGTGATCGCGTTCGTCCGTCGTGCTGACGCAACCTGACAAAGTCAGAAAGGACCGAGAAAAACACCAAGGAAAGAACAGTGCAAAGCACTTTCTCCCCCCCGCCAAGAAAGCACCCCAAAAAATGTGTCACAGCTACGCCGAGATGAAAACCAACAAAAAGCCAAGCGTTAAGTCCCACGAAGAAGAGTGTTGAGCGGAAAGTTGATGACGAAATCGGGTGTGACGTGCCCAAAAAGTCTTCAAGGGCGAACCCGCGTAAGTAGACCAGAAACCGCGGCAGAAATTATGCGTTGCTCGAACTGAACCTGTTTTTGTCTTCACACGCCAGAATCATGTAGTATCTTCAGCAGATGCAGCTGGCAGCACCTGGCGTGTTTGAAATCAATGGAGTTGTCGTGGGCGGGTCGAGTTGATGGATTTGTCGCTAATAGAGTTGGAGCGGTTGTATCCCGAAATCCTGTGGCCGTGAAGTCGGGGTTGGTACGAAAATGTCGTCGGT